TGTGAGGGGGCGGGGGGGGGGGGAGGGGGAATCAGGGGGGAGGGGGACGGGCGCGCAGAAGATGAGGAGGGGCACGAGCTCGAAGTCAAAGGGTACGCTGGCACAGAGAGCGGGAGCCAAGACGGCGCAGAGGCAAGACAGAGCAGGTGGTCATGATGCAAAGAGCCGGTTGGTGTGGCCTTGACGTGACGAGGTGATGCGAAATCTGCAGAACAACATGTCCCCCCAAGCACGCACACACAACACACAACACACAGGATATGCATATGTGTGTTGTGTCAGGGAGCCGCACGCCCCCCCAAGCACGCACACACAACACACAACACACGCACACACACGCACACACACACATACAGGATATGCATCCGTGCCCCACCTGTATCGCCTTGCCCATCTGCTGCTCAGCCGCCAGCTCCCGCGCCTCCAGGCTCAACAGGTGGCGCGCCCGCTGCAGCGCCGCCAGCAGGCTGTGCAGCACAGCGGGGGCGCCTGCGCCGCCGGCGTCACGGGTGGGCGGGCTGGGGCCGCGGGTGCGCAGGTCCTCCTCCAGGGCTATAACGCCTTTGCAAGTGAGGTGTGAGTTTTCAGGTGGATCAGACGCATTCAGGGGGGGGGTGCGATGGATAGGTGTGCAAGATGACAATCAGCAGCTCTACAGGAGAGTGGGTGACATCAGGCGGGTCCATGCGGCCTGAAGGCTCCTGGAACCCGGCCGCGGGGGAGCGGGTGCGTCAGAGTGGCGTAGGGCTCGAGGCGCGGCGCCCCCTCCTTATCACAGGCGGCATGCAAAATTTCCGTCATTTTTGGCCGCGAGAGGATGGTCCCTGCATTCTCGCCCGCAAAGGCCAGGTTCCCCGTCCCCTGCCTCCCCCCGCGCACCTTCCACCAGGTCTGACAGGCTGAGCCGCCCTACTGCGGCCGCGGCCGCGCTGACCTTGGCGGCTGTGGAGGCACACGTGGCGCGCAGCACGCGCGACGCAGGGTCCTGGGGACAGGGGAGGCGGGTAGGATGATGTTTGACGATTGATTGTTGTAGTCCAGAGCAGACCAGCTTGTTTGTGAGGAAATATCGACCAAAAACCGCCGACATAGGGCGGGGAGCGGCAGGGCGGCGTTGCGGCCGCGAGCCCCACCTGCAGCGCCGCGGGGCCAGCCTTGGTGCAGTGCACCAGGGTGGCTGCCGCCTCCGACAGCAGCTGGTCGTGGGTGTGGCGCGAGAACAGGCCTGGGAGTCAGAGGGGGGGGCAGGGTGCTGATGATTAGCGGCGCGGCAGCGTATGACCAGGAAAACATGATCCATCTGCCACAAACTTCCCGGGAGTCACACACAAGTTCCCCTGCTTTGCCAAAGGCGCATTGCCGCAATCCATCGATCGATTGGTCGCATGCCAGAGATGGGGTGGACCCTTGCAGTACAGCAAAGTATTTGTACGACAGGGCACAGCCCAACGCCTCCTGTGCGCCATTGCGGCACGGTCAATGCTCTCAGCAGACCCTCCACCCATCCACATACTCCTTGCAGGCCGCCTGTGCAGGCCCCAGCTCAAGCCGCGCCCCCCTCACCCGCGACCTGGTCCAGCAGGGCCTTGTAGGCGGCCTCCTGCTGCCGCAGCGCAAACAGCTCCAGCTTGAGGGACCGCACGCTGCGCACCAGAGGGGCCGCCTGGCACAACAGCACGGCGGCAGGGGAAGCAGCAGAGCTGATGACGTGGCGTGCATCAACACCCCGCGATGGCTCACCGCATTGTGAGCCATTCCAAGAACCTGGCAAGATCGCAGCAACAACCATCTACAGCAACGCGCTGTGAAACAAATGCTGCCGGTGCTTTGATCTGTCACACATGACAGGGCGCTCACCACCTCCGGCTCAGCCTGGAAGCTGCCCAGCAGCTTGGGCAGTGCCGCCATCAGCGCCACGCTGCCGGCCTGGTGCTGCGCCGCGCGCTCGGACGCGGCCGTGGCCGCACGCCCGCGGCGGGCGCCGGCCAACTGTTGGTGAGCGGCCCTGCACGCAATCAGTTTGAGGACAAGCGGGGCGATGACGTTCCATACGCATGAGATCACACAAGCAACTTTGCATGGAGCCAAAACACAAAGAGCGCACCATGCATTTAATGATGTATGGCCGGCTTGGCCCAGGCGACCGTTCACCTGTCGATCTGCGCCGCGACCAGCGCTGCCAGGTGCGCGTTACCCAGCCGCCCGCGCCGCCCCGCGGCCGCCTCGTCGGTCAGCGCGGACACCAGCAGCTGCATAACGCAGGAGCAGGGGCAGAGGCTTTCATCCATACAGCGAGAGGTGTAAGACGGAAAGGGTTCTTGCACTTCCTGCAGGATGCTCTCTTCTTGGTCGCCTGCCAATCAGGGCATCACCCCGCATTAAAGCTGTGCACGCAAACTCCTGTAAACAAGCCCATGCAAGGAACACTCGTGATGAACACACACACACACACACACACACACACACACACACACACACACGACACACAACAACACACACACACGCACGCGCGCAACTGCACACACCTGCGCATCATTCAGCAGCGGCAGCTCCTCAGCCAGTGCCCCCACCAGGTCCGCCACGCCGCCCGCGCTCAGGGGCTGGACCGGCGCCGCACCCGACAGGCTCGCGCGACGCTCGGCAGCAGAGGGGTCCACATCCTGGGGGATGGCAGGTGGAGCACATAAGCTTGGGCTCCATTGTTACTCCAGAGGAAAAGATGGGAACGGTATGGCGTTTCAGGACGCAATGGCAGCACCGCCTGCCACAGCAATGCAAGCGTTGCTTCGCCCGCAGATCAAGCAGCAGTGAGCAATGATGGAATACGCCTAGGCGAGGCATCCCAGTGCAGCAGGTCGCATCCCACCTCCCCAACTGCCAGCCGCCCCATCATGAGCAGTAGACCCTCCAGCTGGGCGGACTCCTTGCTGTCACCGCCAATGCCGCTGCCGCTGGCGCCCTCGCCGGGGCCGCCATTTGCGGGCGCAGGCGACTTTGGCCCCTTCTTGCCCGCAGCGCCGCGGCCGCGCTTAGCGGCCGCCGCCGCTGCCTGCGGCACGAAAAGGGCAACATGGACCGTCAGGTGGCACGAAAACAGGCAGCAACATGCCAACGCAGACGTTACCAAGGTTCGTGCGCCCTGCAAACCTGCGGGACTGCGCACCTTCGCCGCCTCTCTCTCCGCTAGTGCCTGCGCCTCCGCGCCCGCCTCCTCCAGCATTTGCACCACCAGCCCGGCCGCCCCCTTGCGCACAGCCTCGTCCTCGTCAGCCAGCAGCTGGTACGCCGCGCGCACGTCTGACAGAGGAAGCTGGCGGGTAGGGCAGGGAGGGTAGGGCTAGTCGGTGGAGAGGCTCAGCACAAACGTGGCACAGGGCGGGCTGAGGACGATGCCAGGTGGGAGCAGGCGGCAGGGTTGCTAGGAGCATCGCAGCGACAAGTCGGCGGGCGGAGGGAGAGCCTTGAGCTATCACACCTATACCTGAGTCTGCACGACTCACTCGCAGGAATTTGGTTGTGCTATTGTTGATCGCAACTGCGCTGATGAAACCCCGCCCGCACCCAGGACGTTGCGGTTGGTCCAGCCCCTCCCACCATTGTTGCACAGCGTCGAGAACGGCGGCTCTGTCCAAAGCCTACCTGCTTGGTCTTGACTAGTACCCCCAGCAGCTTGAGCCCCGCGGCCGCCACGCCCCCATCCGTGTCGCTCATCAGCTCCACGAAGCGCCCCTTGAAGCGCCCCGTGAACTCCGCCAGCCGCGGCAGGTTGTCGCTGGGGGGCGGGAGGTGGTGGCAGGTGGCGGTCGTGGTGATTGTGATGATGGAGAGGTGGTGGACAACGGTAGGCAGGCACAGACATTTGGAGTTGGTGCTGGTGTGCAGCAGGCATGGCGATTCAGCAGAACGGCACCGCTGGCGGGCAAAAAAACACCTGAGCCAGCAGCAAGGGTCCAGGGCGCAGCCAGGCGCTGGTCACCTGTCCTGGTAGAGTCGCTCTATGGCGGCCACCGCGGCAGAGCGCACCTCGGGGTGCGCGTCACTCTGCAGGGCGCGGGTGGGGCGCGGTAGGGACTAGGTTGCCACAGCGCACATGGAACATAGACGCCCAAGGCGCGTGCTGCTTGCGCACATGCGTGCAGCATCTGCACCTATGCCCATCCACCTCGCCCTTTGTCCGACACGCATCGCCCCCCCTGCACCAAACCAACTGCCGATCCCGCTGTCCCATGCCCCACCGGCTGCCATTCCTCCCATCTGCAGCTCGTCCCTGCCTCTCAATTAATCCGTCCCACCCACCCAACTCCGCCCAAACCTGTGCCCACGCGAGGTACTTCAGGTACGAATCCGACAGGAAGGTGGAGGGGCAGGATGACGCCCAGGACCCAATGGCGGAGACCACCTCACGCCGCACGCGGGGGTCCACATCCCTAAGGCGCAAGGGAGTGGGCGCGTGGGTGCGTTGGTTAGCCAGTGGGCCGCCTGCCTGCGGCCCTCCAGAAGCACCCCCGCAGCTGCACGACTGCGCATGGTGCCTGAAGGAGGCGGCGCAAGCTCCGCGGCGGTAGGCAGGGCCCCACGTCGGGCTGCAGCCGCTCGGGAATACGAAGCTGCCCCCAAACCTCTGGTTGTCAAAATACAGCCGCCCTTGGGGCCCCAACGCACCTGAACCTGTGTGCAAACACGCCCTGAAACAGCACCCCGATGACCTGCTCCAGCTCCTTGGCGCGGTGGTGCAGTGTGGCCACCTGGCGGCGCAGCGCGGCCGCGCGGTCGGTCGCAGCCTGCAAAAGTGGCGATGCAGGGGCGTTAGATTGTCGAAGTGGTGAGATTGCAGCACTTTCTAGGGTCACTGCGGCCATTGATTGCAGGACTATCAACCCAGCGGCTGACCTACAGTTGAAAAGACCAGAGTTGCTGGCAGAGTTTCAGCCTCAGGCCTGTGATGCCCCAGCGTTACCAGGCCCTGCCTTTTTCGTGTGGCACGCACTTGTTTGCCCCTTCCAACACACGCGCACACGCACACACACACACACACACACACACACACACACACACACACACACACACAGACGCATACACGCACGCACCTTGCCCTTCTTCTTGCCCTCCTGCTCCTGCTGGTACTGCGCCGTGTCGCGCGCCTCTGCCAAGCCAACGCCCACCGTCACAAAGCTGCTGACCACCTGGGCCGCCGTCACGGTGCCCGCGTAGCGGAAGGGGCGCACGGGAGAGCTGCAAAGCGGTAGAATGGGATGGGGAGGGGGGCCGCCGCAGCGTGGTGGAGGGCGGGTGCCAGCAAGCTGACGAAGATTGTGATGAGGCCATCACCAGTCTTCGTGCGCAAACCAGAGCTAAAGGCAGCAGCCAGGCACACAAACTCAACGCTTGCCGGACTGAGAGCATGCTGACCGCCTGGATGGCCCACCAGCTGAGGGCTGTGACTGTGTTGGTGATGCGGTCGGGCAGGCGCGCGTCAAACAGCACCTCCTGCACGGTAATGGAAAGGGTTGTTTTGTTGTCGCGACGCCATGGCGTTTTGAGGAGCTGCACTTGTGCAGCAAGGCACGCAGCAAAAGCAGCGACCTTAAAGGCGCCCGTGCTGCAACTGCAAAGCACGCCCCATGCATGATGGTTTGCCCTCACCTGCGCCGCTGCTTCGCGTATGGCGGCGTCCCAAAAGGCGCGGTAGTGCTCCAGGTACGTCCGCGCGACGCCGCGGTGCGTGAAGGGATCAATCCCGGACTCCTGAGATTTCACGAGGTGGCAGGGGCGTGGGTCACGAATTGGTGAGGGTCGCACGGGTCCCTCATCGCCGCTTGCAGCACCTCCCTGCTTCCCCTGCCAAGACATGCGCAGCAGCCTGCGTACCGAGCAGCGTCTCATCCGCAGCAGCCCGGCCGCCTCTGGCAAGAGGGCACAAGCTCACCACACCAACCACTCAGGCCCCCTCTTCCGACCATGCGAGCCCCCACCTCTGTGATGCGCAGCGCCAGGTTCTGCACGACCTCGTCCACCTCGCCACCCTCAACGTCCTCAGCAGTGACCTCGTCCAGGCTGCCCGTGGACTGCAATTGTGTTGATAGCCGTTGGATTGGGAGCCAAGAGGCAGGCACATGCAGTGGATGGGCATGCAAGGTGGGAAGAGGTCGCATCGTCGCATCCTGCTTGTGCAAGGCACTGCGCAGAGCGGCAGCTCTGCAGCAGCTCGTTGCGCAGGCTGCGCCTGCTGGGCACCAGCATGCATCCCCAGACCCGCACCTTGACCAGAAGCGTGAGCAGCTCCGCCGTGGCCTCGTCCCTGTTGCTGCGGTACCGCTCCACCCACTCCTGCGACCAATGGACACGGCACACGTCAATGCTGCGGCTGCCACGAGGTTGTGCAGCACCGCACTGCTGAACGGCAGCCATCATGATGCATGACGCGCGTAACCTTAGGGGCATGGACATGCATGCCAGTCCCAACCCACCTTTGCTGCGCGGGGAACGGAGCTGCCATGCTTCACCAGGACGTCTGTGTACGTGGAGGGAACAGCACGGGTTTGAATTTCAGTGCACCCCAACACCGCATGGTCCTTTCCGCTCACTGCATGCGGCTGACAGTGCCTATACAGCGCGGCAGCCACCAAAACATCTGGAATCACCAAGCGTACCGAACAGCTGCAGGTCGTGCAGGTCCGCAGGCTGCCGCTTTGCACGCTTCTGTGCCATTGCTGCAGGTGCGCCGCCGTCACCACCCTTCTGCCGTTTGGGTGTGGAAGCCTGGGATGGTGCAAGGAGGTCTGATATTGTGACCATATCTACATACACAAGATCAAGGGTGCATGCACTGCACGCAGCACGCACTTGCATTGCTTCGCACCTTACGCTTGCGCGCGGTCCCCACATCCGAAGGCTGCACGTCCTCGTCACTATCCCAGCCATCTTCAGAGTCCCTGCGATGCGGAATGAGCCCGTGATGACGTCCAAGCGATCTAGGCGCCTTCCCGCAACACTGCTCCCTTGACGGGGCCCCAGCTGACCCCTGGGCTGGCTCCTCTGCTAGGCTTTTCTTTGTCCTCGTGCTGCGCGCCTCGCGTGCCATGGCTGGCAGAGATCTATCAGCTATACAACAGTGTCACCGCAGGTCTGGCACATGGCTGACTTAGGGCAATAAGCACACAGGTGTTCCAATTCACAACGGACAATGCGGCAACAAGGTGTGCATTGTGCCGTGCCCAGTTGAGCCGTGCTGCGCTTTGGCCGTGCTGTGTGTCATGCCCAACCCATTTAAATCCCTGATTTTCCGCGTAGGATACGGGGTTCTGTTGGGATAACAGCATGCAGTTCCGAACCATATTTCGACCGCAAATCACGGCGAGTCGCTACTTTCCTCGTCCATTTCCCCTCTGGCTGGCTTTGACACGGCAGATCTCCGTACTGATCCAGCATGGAGAGCAATGGAACCTGTGTCTGCGTCCGGATGCGGCCACCAAACTCTAGGGAGAGTGGCATGCGGTGCCTGTCACGGACGAGCGCGACTGCTGTCGCGTTCAAGCCGCCAGGCGACGCCACTTCCTTGGGGGGCGCGAGTGCGGCCAGCAGCACCTTCTCTTTCAACAAGGTCTATGGTACGAAGGAAGTGCAATTGCGGCTCAAAGTGGGATGCTGTGTGCATGACCTCGCATGCGTCGCAAGGGTGCGTGCTGCCTCTTCTGCTGCGTCAGCGAACGAACACAGGGTCCTTGTGTCGCACTCGACAATGTCAGGGGAGTCAACATCGCAGCGCGACGTCTTTGATGACTGCCGCCGTGTCGTGCACAGCGTTCTGGGAGGCTACAACGGCACCATCATGGCGTACGGCCAGACCGGCAGCGGTAAAACCCACACACTCATCGTGCGTTGCAGCACAGACCAGGGTAGGCTGCATGCCGCATGACTCGGGCAGTCATGCATGCCAGGTTCTGCTTGCAAACAACAAGATTGCAGCACCACCGGTGCAGCCATGCAGCCAAAGTTTCATGCATGGGCCATGCAGCATGTGTTGCATGCCCTTACGACATCACACAGCACTTTGTGCTTAGGCGAGCACTTGCCACCTTCGTTTCGCCACACAGACAAACACACCTTTCAGCCCTTACAGCCAATTAATACATGCTCCCCAATTATAATTGTGCGCACCCCTCAGGGAGACGTCGCAGACCCCGAGCTGCGGGGCATCGTGCCGCGTGCTGTCGAGGCGCTGGGCGAGGGCATTGCGGCTGACGACAGCGGCGCAGAGTACGAGGTGCACAGGCCTCGCGGGGAATCACACATGATTGATATTGTGACGCCAACAACAGGTGTCACGTGTCGCTTGCCTGGTGCAGCAGAGCCTGCGGTTGTATGATGATCCCGCATCTTGCGCCATGCCAGCAGCACCGGCCCAGGAAATTCTGCGAGCTCGCTGATGCCAGCAACTAACGGTCACAGAGCATGCCACACACGGTTGCGATGCACCACTCCAACCCAGGTGCGTTTGACTGTTGTTGAGATCTACTGTGAAAAGATTCGCGACCTGCTGGATCCCCTTGGTCGCGACAACCTGCCCATCAAGCAGGGGCTGGATGGCGGCATGTTTGTGGAGGGTGCGCTCAGGGTATGTTGAAGGGCGGCTGCATGCCATTTCCAAGAATCCCAGTCAAAGCTGGAGCGCAAATTTGGTGTTGAGGTCCAAGCACCGCGTTGTCTGCCAAGTTGCTAGCGGCTCAGTCAATCGCAACGCCCGCAACCCTTCACCGCCTCCTCGTTCTCAGGTGCCACTGAGGTGTGTGTTGCGGATGAGGAGCAGCTGGTGGGCGTCATGGAGGCGGGCCTGGCTCAGCGCGCCGTCAAGGGTGCGTGGGTGGGTGGTGGGTGGTGTTGAGGATGGGTGGATGTGCGGGTGGGTGGGTGGGTGCATGGGTGAGGGGGGAAGTGGGGCTCAGGAAGATTCTGGGCTGTTGTGGTCAACGTGAAATGGAGAAGTCACCAGATTTTTCTCGCATGCACGTTTTGGCACCATCCGGCACACCTTGCTTGCTCGACCTCCTTGTGCCCTGTGCTTTGCTGTGAGAGCGGCATCACCTTGCGCATTGCGCTCGTGCCCGGATGTCTGGCTCCTGAACGCAGCCACCGCCATGAATTCTGCCAGCTCGAGGTCTCACTGCATCGTGACTGTGGCGGTGGAGAAGGCCTGCCCAGACGGCTCAACAGTCAGCGGGAAGCTGCGCATGGTGGACCTGGCCGGCAGGTGCGTGCAACCTAGGGCTGGGCCTGCAACACTCCACCCCCTCTCCCCGCCAGGGCGTCCCCTCCTGTTCAATCCAGCACTGATTCTGTATGCATTGGGCCCAGCGGCAATGCACTGTCATTGCCTGCTGGTGGCAGCTGCTGCGGATGCGTGCTGTTGTCAATTACAATTGCTGTGGTGAGGTACGCCAACCTCACGGTCGCCCTGATCACGACTGCCGCCCCTTGCACGTGACCAACAGCGAGCGCCAGGACAAGACGGGCGCTGCGGGTCAGACGCTGGTGGAGGGGTCCCTCATCAACCGCTCCCTGTCGGCGCTGGCCAACGTCGTGTCGGCCCTGACTGAGGGCGGCGGCCCAGGGGGCGGCCACGTCAATTACCGCGACTCGAAGCTGACGCGCATGCTGCAGGACTCGCTGGTGGGCGGGTTTGGGGGGTGCCACCATCACTGCCCTTAGTGAGGGCAGTGAAGACAAGGCAGGGCCGGCATCTGAGGCTGGTCCTGACCAGAAGCACAGCTGGCTGGTTGCAGGGGTCGGTGACTGCTGGGCAGACCCACACTGCGCGCCCATGCACAACCTGCGCCGCCACATGACGGTGCTGCGTGCTTGTCCCCGACCCTGTGCAGCTCCGCTCCGCTCAGCTCGCCGCCGCCGTCCTGGCACCGCGCCGCGCCCCCTGCTGCCTGTCCTTGTCCCAGGGCGGCAGCGCCCGCACGGTGCTCATCATCAACTGCTCCCCGTGCGCCGACAACGCCGCCGAGACGCTGTCGTCCCTGCGCTTTGGCAGCCGCGCCCTGGGCATCAAGAACACTGTGTCCGCCAACAGGCGGCTGAACCCAGAGGCGCTGCAGCGGCAGCTGGACGAGGCGAGAGCTCAGGTGCGTGCCCGGCTGGGGTGAAGTAAGGGGGGCAACGAAGGGAGAAGCCGGGAGCTGGGTGGTTGAGGAGGGGCAAGCAACGCCTGGATCTGTGGGCCAGCGGCGGAGGTACCTGGGTTCACTGGGTCGGCGATGCCTGGGAGGGAAGTGGCATTGCCACCAGCAAATGGGCAACCAACCTGCCCAAATGCGTGTGCGTGTTTGCAGATCGAGGCGCTGCGGCAGGAAGTTGAGGCACTGAGGGCAGCAGGCAGCAGCACCATCGATGGCGGAGGGAGATTCACAGCGGGAGCGACCCAGCAGGGCGCCACGGCGGTGGTAGCTTCAGAGCGTGAGGAGCCCCTGCAGCAAGTGCCCGGAAATGCCGGGGCCCTGGCGCACGCCAGCAGCAGCAGTGGTGTGGGCGGCGGCCTGCAAGCCGCGGGGCCGTGGGTGGAGCCTCTGGCGTGCGGGTTTGCTCTGGCTACGAGCATGCTGCTTTACATGGGCTTTGAGGACTGGCTGCTGCGACAGCACGGGTACTTGGTGGGCTGACAGCTACCTGGAAATGGATTTGCACTCTGGCCTGCTATGATATGAGCTCTTGCCTGCAGGCCATGCAGGATCGCAGGATGTGCACTAGTACATCAACGCTTTTTAAAACATAAGCGATGCAGACTGTGCAGCTGTCTCGTTCCTGCAGCTGCAGCTGCACTCGTGGGCGCATCACTTGGCAGATTCTGAGCTCAAGCTGCAGCAGGTTTTAGCCTTCCCACGTGCACAGTCCACTTGCGCAGTCACTAGGTGGAACGGCCAGCTTAGCCTGTCTGTTGACAGATGCAGCTGGACGTCAAAACAATTGTCTGGGCTCGTGCACTCACAGACCGCGCCAGAGTAATTGCAGTGTGCGGCCAACGGTGCGTGGCTCTTGTGGCAGCAGCGCGTGATTAGCTGCGTCACCAGATTCCCCTCGCAGTGAAGCCATCCCTATGGCAGCTTCGGTGCGAGGCCTGCTTCTCACCCCATGTGCGCGTGTGCGGTGTCTGGTGCGCTTGCGGGACACCTTGCACACTGCGTTGAAATACTTTGCACACAGTAAGCAGAAGTGCGCTAGGAGCGACCCGGTACAGCAACACTTTTGGCAGGCTGACAAGTTCATGCAAGCACTCAAGCACGCCCCCACCCAGATGTGCAACACATACTTTACATGAACGCTCCTACGATGCCCATGTTTATGCAACAAAAGTATGGTACAATACAAACAGCAAGGTGCTTCTCAGGCAAAGTTGTTGTTGCACCTCTAGTCAACCTCCTCCACCTCAAAGTGCCAATCCGCAATCACTAGCCAGCTGACCGCCGCCCGCAAGGCGTCTGCGCCGCCGGCGCGGCTTAGCAGGCGGTGTGCGATTGAATCCCTCACGCGCCCAGCCCACGCGCGCGGGTGGCCCTGGGCCTCGACCCACGCCATGAGGTCCCCATCCTCCACCCGCGCAAAAAAAGATGGGTCGGCCCCACAGGTACCTATGACCAAATTGAGTCCCCAAGAATTGTCACCGCAAAGAGAGAGGACGCGGCACAGCGGCGCAAAGGCCTCCTGGCCCTCAGCCGGCGGCCGCGGACAGGTACCGCCGCACACGCGGCCGCCGAGCAGCGCATGCAGGCTGTCGCCCCACGCCATTCCGTCACATTGCTGGGTCTGCGCGAGCCATATAAAGATCTCGTGATCATTCAACCCCCCACAACTCCATGGCATGTCCTCCAGGTGTCCGCCGCGGATGGCGCCCAACATCGCACTCAGGGAGGCACTCGTCCGCCCCTCGACCCAGCCCCGCGCGTTGAAGGGGCCGCCATCATCCTCAACCGCCAGGCGCTGTGCCTGCCGGCTGCCGAGCACCGCCAGCATGTGGGGCGAGTGGCCCGCCTCGGCAGCAGTCCTCGCCGCAAAGTTGAGATAGTCCTGCATCAGGGACACCTCGTCCACCCACGCCTTGTGGGCCGGCCCCAACTGGCCGAGCGCATCCGCCTCCAACAGAGCCGCAGCCTGCAGCTTGTCCAGCGTCTGCACGAGCCAGGGCGGGCGGCGTGGCGATGCCGTGTGAGTACGCATGTGCGCGCGCTTTGCACGCGCGTGCAGGGGGTCTCGGGTCACTCATGCACGGGTTGTGCAGGCACGACCAAATGACACCCTCGGGTTGACATCCAGCCTGAAGTCCCAATCCTGCGTTGGAGGCACTTAGCATGCGTTCCTCTGCCAAACTGGGCCTCAAGGGATCCGGCCGCCCACCTGGCTTTGCAGTGCCCATTGCTCGCTAAGCGCGTTGCGCACGTCCAGCGCGGTGCCCCGCCGCACCGCGCGCATGACAGCCAGCTGCAGCCGCTGAGACTGCAAGCCCTGCGCACTCCAGCCAAAGTGCTCGTGCACGGCGGCAAAGTAAGCGTAAGCCATGTCCTCCGCCTGTTCCTCGCCCCCCGCCGCACCCAACCCAAGCCAGCATCCTGCCAGCTGTCTCTGCAGCGCGTCCGAGTTGGGCGGGGCGCACTGTGCGTCCAGCTGCAGGCCGGCGCGCGCCAAGCGGGGCGCTAGCCAGGCACGGCCGGCCATCGACAACGTCGCATGCTGCGGGGCGGCCTCGCTCGGCGAGACCAGGGTCGCGACCACTGCCTGCAGGACTTCCACCGCCACGCCCTTGCCACGCGCCTCCTCCCAGATCTCGTCGAGGGCAGCAAACAGCGCCCCCGGCGCCAGCAGCGGGAGGTCGCACTCCCAGCAGTCTGCTGTGCCCCAGCCCTCGCGCCCGGCGCCGTCGTTCCCCGTGAGGCGGCAGACGGCTTCCGCCAGGGCCCGGGGCAGCTTGCCGCCCTCGCCAGAAATGGTCAGGGCGAAGCGCGCCCCGTGCAGCACCTGACGAAGCAGCTGCGCGTCTGACAGCGTCGCCGCGTACGTGGCTGCAGCGGCGATGAGCTCCCCCATCCGGAACTCGCGGTGGCCGGCATGCGCGGTGGCCATCCGCATCAGGAGCTCCTGCACCCTCGGATCGCAGAGCGCCGGCCGCGGGCACGACGGCAAGCCCGCCAGGCACAGCTGCACGGCAGCTTCCCAGCCCGCCGCGACGGTCGCCTCGTGGCGTGCGCTGGACTCGTCCAGGCCGCCCAGCACGAGGTCCTCGACGCGCTGCTCCAGGATGGCACTGCTGAGCTGTCTATGGCACAGGGCAAAGACCATCGCCGCATCGCTGCCAGCCGTGCGTGCGCGGAACGCGCGGGACAGGGCCTCGGGCTCACAATGCATCCCGTCCGCCAGAACGCTGCGCACGATGCTGGCGGCGCAGCGTCGGACAGCAAAGGCCTGCAGGTCCGCATGCATAGCGACCGCCTGGTCCGACGAGCCGTCGTGCGATGCGCGGCAGATGTCGACGGCGTCCGCCCACTGGCCGGCCAGCAGGGCCGACTTGGCGGCTGCCATGACCTGGGCGCGCTGGCTGACGAGCCCCGCGCCGCCGCCCAGGTCAAAGCCGGCGGCTGCGCACAGCAGGCGGCGCAGGGCCAGGGGCTGCAGCAGCGCCGTGACGCCTCCCTGAGCCGCATAGGGCAGCAGCAGCAGGGGGGCCATGGGTCCGCACAGCGCCAGCAGCGCGCCCACGGCGTCGCCGTCCACCTGCAGGCGCGCCTCTGCGGCCGCCACGTCGGGTGCTGCACCAAGCTGCTGCGGCTGCTGCTGCGGCTGCTGCTGCAAACTTTGGGCATAGCGCAGCATCCACAGCGCCATGCCCTCCGCTGTCTGTTTTTGCAGTCGTCGCCACGTCACCGCTGCATACTGCCACGGCCGCCCGGGCGCCGCGGCCGGGTGCTGCGTCCGGAACCACTCGATGTCGAACCTGCAGCACAGCTGCAGGCTGCCGCGGCTGGTGCTGGCAAAGTTGGTGGGTCCGGCAGGCGGGAGATGATGATCTGCAGGACCTCGGGCGGCAGGGCCGTGAGGAGCATGGATTGTGGTGCCGCCATGGCGCTGCAGCTTCGGTCCGGCCGGGGTGTCGGGCGGGCGCCTTTGAAATTGAGATAGGACGCGGCCGCCTCAGTGGTGATCCTGCGATGTGCCAAGAGGTAGGGATGCAGGCGACAGAGCTGAGCGCATTGTACACATTTTAGTGTTACAGTGCTGTGGCAGCCGCCACCATCAGTACAATCAGCGGCAGCAGGCGCAGATCGAGCCCCAGCTGACAGGTGGAGCGGTGCGCCGGCAGCTGTGCTGCAGCCAGGCTCAGGAGCACGACTACTGATTTCAACCTACCAATAGATTTCTGAAGGTTTTTCAAGGCGTACCAAATGCTCTTTGGGGCACGCGATCTACCCGCGATGATCTCACGACAATTCAAACCTGCACGTATGGTATGACGTGTATAAATCAGTGCGAGGCTTCATTATATTACCCTTATAGCATGCTGCTGCCGCAAGCCGACGATGGCCTGGAAACCATCTGGAAACCTGCTGGAAACGCACCGGCCCCACCTTACTCACACTGCACCCACGCACCTCACGGCCCTTGTGTGTATGATTGGCTGCTGCCCACCTCGCACCAGTTACAGCACGAGTGATCATACCACTCTCACCAACTCCTCTGCAGAAGGGGTAAATGGAAGTATACCTCAGCTACAGTACCTTGGGAGTCGTAGTCGGCCGTCACAGTCTCACAGCCTGGGGCATGCGGTGGCAAGTGCCGCTTTCATACCAGCACACATGCCGCTTTCATA